AGCCTTATTGCAACTTCTTTCCTTAAGCAGGTTACCAATAAAATTTTGGTTCTCAAACCCACTGAATTTTAAATCTCAGTCTTCCCAAATTGCTTTAACATATTGGTATTCCTATTCATATTGGTAAAAAATTTATCTGAAAATAAGTTCCATGTCCATAACAAATGTTGAACTTACTAGACACTTCCCTTTCTGATATCTGTAATCTTCCAAGAGGTGATTTATATTTGCTATGTGTGTCTTTCCAAAAGAGAAGGTATTTCTGTTTTAGCCTCTCAGCTGTTGTCTTTTCAGAGAGAAGCAATAGAAAACTATTTCACATTGGTCTTTAATAGGAAAGGAGACCCAAATTCTATCTGAGGCACAAGATCTCAATGCAGCCAGTAAATGAAGCCTCTAGAAGAGTGCTGAGGTGCTCACCACCTGGGTCAGCCAACTGGAGGGGGATCAGTGTCAGACACAAGTAAATGAGAAGGTAAAAGGAGAACTGTGAGCAGTAAGCCAAGAAACCTACAATGCACTTCTTACAAAGAGCTCTAAAATTCACATTTATTTTGTAAGTATGAGATAGATGGGTTATTTCTACATATAGAGGTGCCCAACTAAAATCAAGATAAGTGATATTAATGTCCTATGGTCAGTATTATTGAACCTCGAAAGCAATAAAGTATGAGTCGATAAATATTACATTTGCAACATAGTTAACATTCTTCTACTGTCTCTGGCACTTATTACACATTGTAACCGCAAGTCTACAATACATTATTCATATTTGGGGTGTCACTGAGTGATGGATTGCTGTAAGAGAGGCTGTCCTTTAAATAAATCAACAAATAAAAATGCAAATGTTAACATTTTCAGCCACAACTTTTTCCATCTTGAATAGGGAATGAAAATTTCACATTATATCGACAGCCAGCAGAGAGAACAATTAACAACCTACACTGCGAATAAGAGAGATTAATTTGCCAATGTCTGGTTTTATCACTTGCATATGGAACTACATTGGACTTTTTGCACTGCTGGCTTTCTCAGAGAGTAGGCAAAACTTCTGTCTGCTACCACATCCAGAAACTAACTCACCACCCTCTTCAAACACACTTTTAATCTCTTTAAATGTTCCTAAGTTAAATCAGGAATGAAAGTTTTAGGCTCCTTTTGAATCTTGAGTGGTGCTTGATCATAAGGGCAAAAAAACAATTTTATTTCTTTGGCAGTGCTTGCTTAGACTCTACAGTATTAGGAACTTCAGAAATTGTCTTAGGTTGATAGCCACATTTAAGCACCCAAAATGCAAAGATGTGAAAATCAACTAATACCTAAGTAAGATAAAAGCTTGAATCTCATCACTGTCATATTTCCTAACACTCAGCACAACAGATCTACTTTAGACTATTCCAGTGTGCATTATTAAGTATACAATTCTGCACATTATATTTTACATCAGATATTAATTTGCTTAAAAGTCCCTGAGTACACATTCACCCGAGATGTGTTGGGCAATTGGGTAAATAGTTTTGTTTTTAAAATGTCCCTAAACACAAATTTACACAATACAATCTGTTTATAAGAACTCCAACAGGCCACTGTAGTCTAACAGATAATAATACAGCTCAAATACTGCATTCACATTGCAAGAACTTCTCAATCATTCCTTTTACTGACTACAAGAAACTTCACTCCAAGACAATGCAGCAAGTATGAAAGCTTTGATCTGAAACTGCAACCAAAAACTACACTTCATGCTGAAATTCCAGACTATCACATAGTCCCTTAATTTATCTAACTGTTCTTGAATTTGCTTTGTCCAAAGTGAAAAACACAACAGGAGTATTATCTGTTTCCATGGTGAGCAGAACAAACTTTGCCTGTGTCCTTTTAAGTGCTTAATTTCCGCAGTGTTATAGGACTTACTGTGCCAAACTCAATGCTACGTGGGGAGAGCCTGACAATTGCAACAGGGTTGGAATCAAATTAAATGGTATTTCAGAATGTACAATTTATAACTTCCTTTTTTTTCTTCCCTCAGAAATAGCTGAATACTTTAATTTAGAGCAGTTTCACTTCTGTATGTAATATAACATTTGTTTTGCTGAAATCAGTACCTGGGTATATCTAAGGTAAGGTAAAAACTTCATTACTAAATTGAAGTATCAATATACCAGTACTTCTCCTGTCCAGCTCCCCTCAATTTCAGCACAAACACAGACCCTCTCTTCTAGACAAACACCAGTTATGAAAAAAATGTACCTGGTCACCAAAAAGGTAGCATTTAACACAATCAGAGAAACCATGCTTTAGGAACAAACCTACCCTTCCAAATTTGCCCAGCCCCAATCTTGCCCGTGAATTTTTTTCCCAAATATATTGGCTTTGGTCTAGATAAATAAGCACATGGAGTAGAAGAGCTTTCCAGACCTGCTGTGAACATAATTTCAAGGGCCTCATGCAGGTGTAGACATTTGGCTCAAGAACACTGGATAGCCAAACTTGCAGTGTTTGGCTGCATTATGGAAGGCAGTGACAGGCATGCACAGAAGCCTGACAGGCAAACAAATTCACTATTAGCCCACCTCCAGATACCAGATAAGGAAATCTGGGGTTTTCTTTTTCTTTCAGAGATACCACTGGAATCACCTTGTGCACATTCATTTTGCAAGTTTGGTCCTTCTTCAGGTCTAGCATTAAGGCTCTCAAGGTTCACATCTACCTTCTAGGGACACTTATTTCTTGTCCATGACATGATTCATTCTGAGACAGAAAAGAAAGTAGGGCTGCAGCAATTCTTTCTCAAGCAGGAGGTAGCTGTAACACACTGAAGCCTCCAGTTGAGCCCTGCCAAGGCTGGCTTATCATGCCAACACATCTTCTACCTGCCATGCCTGCTTACCCAGCCAGCCTTCCCCAGAAGCTGTGCTAGCACCCTGATGCCTCTCACTGTCAGGGAGCTTCTGTCGTTTTCCAACACCTTCTCTCTGGCAGCCTTTGCATTGCTGCTGCTGCTGGGTGCCAGGGTTTGTGCTAGTTAAAGCTGGCACAAACACGAGTTGAATCTAGTCCTATAAATTTAAATAGTCAAAAGTAATTAGGTTTACATGTACTGCTGAATAAATAAATTTGTTCTTAGGCTAGGGCTTTGTGATGCAAGTTTCAGATCTGTGCCAACTGTTGTGGTTAAGCTGTTAACCCCCCCAAATCACAGATCATAATGAACATGCTGACAAACCCTAACTTTAGTGGCACAAAAGCAGCAATAATTCTCAATATTGATTAATTTAGTTAGTTAAACCTGCAGTCTAAGCTTATAACCATTCAGTGATAAATTGAGACTGACCTGCTGCCCAAGCAGGTTTTTTGATGAAGGATAGAATCAGCTTTAGGTCTCCCCAGAAATACTTGTCCATTTACCATTTTAAATTAGAGAAGGCCAGGAGTAAGGGAAAGCACAACATGGCTGTTTAACCTAGTCAAAAATACTTACGGCACCAATGCTGAGAAAGAAAGGGAGGAAGAATAGGAGAAAGTGCCCAGAAATACGGGATTTTTCATCAGCTGCTAAAATAATACCTTAAAGATGACAGGTAATCAGACTCCTTTTACTGATCACTTTACTTGATATGATTTCTAACAGCATATTTCAACAAATATTTTACTCCCCTCTGTGGAAAAGAAGAGACCATCAATCCTCTTGAATAAAATTTCTTTCTCTGAGCAGTCTTCATATGATCTGCATAATTATATCTACTCCTCAGTGTTTGAATGGAATCTCAACCTAGCACTATTAGACAGTATCAAGCAGTATCTTTACACACACTTTATCTGCTATGCCTGCCTTGCAAAGGCAACCATTGCTTCTAGGAGAAAGGCTTAGGCAATCTTGTGGTTTCTGTTAGTTTAAACATACAGCTACTTGTGGGAAACTACCCAGTCTAACTCAGTTCTTAAATCCTCCAAGAATTATCATCTCTTCCATCAGAAGAAAAAAAAAGTGTTTCCGTAACAAGTAAGTACAAATTTGTCAATATTGATAGTGGTTTTTCACCTATTATATATCACAAGTTCTCTCATAAGATAGAAATAAACTGCCAGCTGCTGCCAAGAATACAGGGATGATATCAAGCGTACATTTTCCAAGTCCACTGGGCCAAGAAAAGATTAAATCTGACTCTAGCCCTCTCATCCTCCAAAAACATTTAACTCCTCTCATGAACGGTTGCACATTCCTGTTATGCCACTGCACTGTTATCTAGTAGTATAAAATACTGCAAGTTCATATTTCAATCTGCTTGTATTTTGTTGCTTAAGTAAAGATTTTATTATGAGAAAATGTGGGACATGATAAAAAAAAGCAGGGATTGTATGCCGTTCTTCTAGGCATTTACCACTAGAAATGTAATCCTGCCTAAAGAAGGCAAGTTGTTTTCAGACTTGTAAGCGTAACAACAATGCTGCTTTCAGTTTTTTCATTGCAACAGAAGTGATAATGCTGCTTTTCCAGTGCATTTAGCCCAGACATATAGTATAATCAGGAATTGCTGACTTAATGTGATTTTGTTGCTTTTCATTAAACATAAAATAACTCTCATACAAAACATTTTAAAAGAAATGCCATTTGATAAAAATGGGGGTGGGGGAGGAGGCGGGCAAATGACGAGAGATTAAAATCTTCAAGCGAATGTAAAACCTAACGGGGTTAACACTGTCCATTAAAATTATTTACAAAGGTATTTAATGTGTCAGGAATTGGAACATAAAATACTTTCTGTTCAAAATCTAAGTAAAATTAAAATGTTAGAACTTGGCATATTCTTGCTTTTTTTATTCTAACACGCAACTTAAGGCTTACTATAAATGTCAAAAGGATATGGCAGTTTATAGTTTATATTATTCAGCTTGTGCTAATATGAAACATTATAGAAATTCAGTCACTTCCCTGCATCTAGGAGAGTTTGATGGTTGTGTTTGCAGAATCTTAAACCAGAGATTACCCAGCAGCTTACCGTGAAGGGTCATGCTGAATCGGTGATATGGCTGTGGTTGCAAGCGCTTTGCTGCTGCCCATCAACCCAGGAGATATGGCTGCATCCTTCCTAGGTCCTGCAGTTGTCCCTGTGGAATGAAGTGAAGACAAACCAGGCATCAGAAGCTAGAGATTTTGGAATAGAAGTTCCTCAATTTTGCCTTATTACAGAACATTGGGACGAAAAACTGAAACGGTTTTTGAGTGAGAAATACACAGAGAGAAATGACAGAGAGCTCATCAGTCGACAGTACTGTGCACAGCATCATTTTCAGGATCATGCAGGATCAAGTCTGTAGAATAAGACACACTCTGCAGCCTCCATCTTACTGCCCAGAGTTTGACAGACTTGCACGGTTGTTATCCCTTAAGTGGCCCAGAGGATTCAGCTTGTTTCACAGATGCAGTTCTCATGACGAGCTCTAAGATCTTAGTTCTCCAAGTGTAAACATAGCTAAAACAGCATTTTCGTTTTAAAAAAAACTGAACTGAGAGTGCATTCCTTCTTCCCACCTCCAAATAACTACTGAATTACAAAATAATCTAGGTTTAAAATTAAAGTTTGGGGGTCATGTAGTTCAATCCTCCACTCAAAGAGCATCAACAGGTTTCAGACGCTTGTCACATTAGGTGCTGAATGTCTCCACTGACAGAACCACTCTGGGAAACTCCTCTGGTTCCACTGTTTGACCAGCTCATAGTCAAAAATGTATCCTGTATAGCTAACCAGAATTTTCTAATTGTGACTTTTCCCTGTTGTCTCTTGCATGGCTGGTGATGACTTCCAAGAAGTCTCATTCCCTCTTTTATAACCCTCTCCTAAGGTAGCTGAAGCAAGATCCACGTTGAGTCATCTTTTCTTAAGGCTGAATGCACCCAACTTTCTCAGCCTCTTGCTTCAGCCCCATGTCTGTCCTGGCTGCCTCTGCGAGACTTCCTAGTTTTTCAGTGTTGTCTGTGCACTGTGGAATCCCAAACTGGACGCAGCATTTATGGACGCAGTCCCACTGAGCTAACTGGGGGGGAAGTGTCATTTCAGCATTCTGATGATCACAGTTGTATGATCATGGCCCAGTAAGAGGTCCAGTTACTCCATCACACAGGCACATCACTGCTGTTCACCAGGACACCCTCTTCTTTTCTGGCAAAATTGCCTTCAGGGTTATCCTGCTACATGAGATCAGTTCAACTCAGTTGAAGGACCCTGGCATTTCCCTTTGCTGAACCTAAAAAGGGTTCTGTCAAATCGTTTTCCCAACATGTTAAGGTCCCTTGAATACTGTGCCCTGTTCTCCAGCACACTGACTGCTTCCCCAAGGCTGCAAATCTGCTGAAGGTGCAGTCCCACTGCCCAGGCTATTAATGTTAAGCAGCTAACCACTATGATCTGGCTGCCAGCTGGACTGAAGACAACCCTTGAAGGCTGGTGGTCCAGCCAACTTTTCACTTGCTCACCTGAGAACTGAGTTCCATTGATCAGATTTAGTAAGAGAAATGGCATACAGGTAAATAAGAGGTAAAGGGCAATAGGAAAATTAGGAGCTATCTGATCTACCACACAAAAACTTGTGGATTTGGGCTTTTTTAATCTAGCCTAATCAGTTGTGTGCAACCAACACTGCTTAACAAGACATAGTATAGGGAAAACTAAACATATCAGCAAAAACTGAAGTCAAACCAGTGTTTAGCTCTTTATGTAACTCTGTGATGACCAAATATTTCTCAGCTCTGTGAACAGAAGCATTATCTGTGAGCCATGCTGAAACATGAGGCAACACAAGTTGGAATTCTAGCTTCAGTGTAAAATGTACAGATCTCCAAGGAATTATTCAAAACAATACATTGATCTGAAATTTATACAAATATATATAATTCAGTAAACACATACATTTTAAGATGCATTTTAGGGACACTAACAAAAAAATATGTTATCACCATGCTATGAACTGTGTCTCAGCACCATGCAGTAAGAAAATCTTGCCCAAGAAAGAGTTAATTACCAGTGAAGGAAGTCTTGGAAATACCATGGGGATATATGCTGATTGTGTGTCCCTGGTAACTTGATAGTGTGCCAATCCATGATGAGAAGAGTGGGCATATAAAGACTGGAAGCCTGTTGCTTAGAGTTTTGACTTTAAAATTGAGTAAGCAATAATATTTAGAAATCATTTCACGTGACAGTGGAATGAGGAAGCTAGATTTTAAGAAATTAATACCAAAGTAATAAAAATCTTGTTAACATGGGGGAAAATATTCAATTGCTAATATGAGACAAGGCTGGCACACCATCAACGTACTGCATCCACAGAAAATGAGATGTATCTCTGTAAAAAAAGACAATCTATGGACTCAGAAGTGGCCAACACAGCCTCAAGGGGACTGTTCAAATACCCAAGTTTGAAAGTATTACCAGAGCTAGAGACAGAAAACAAGAAAAGGAACTCATCAGGAATTTACTGAGGCTGTAAGGCTGCACAGACATAAAGCAGAGGCATCAAGAAATCCCAAATAAATGTATATCCAAAAAAACAACAAACCACACACAAAAATCCAAAACAAAATAAAACAAGAATAACAAAAAAAAAAACCTACCAAAAAAAAACCAAAACAAAAAGCTATCAAAAAACCCCAAAACAAAACAAAACAAAAAAACAAAACAAAACAAAACAAACAAACCACCAGTTTAAAAATACATCTTGGAAAAGGCATGCAAGTCTTTTGAGGGAAAAGAAACATTCAGGAACAAGCAAATAGATAAAAATGATTAAATCAATAACATTCTCAAAAATGTCCAAGCTACTACTAATTTTAAAATATGAGAAAAAAAATAAAGGAAGGGAAAATTGGCAAGTGGAGGATAATGAAGACCCTGTTGATGTGTAATACCTGCCTATATAAACCTGATGAAAAGAAACTACCAGGGGAAAAAAAAAGATACAAAGTCTTTAGTCTGAAGGATATATATTTCAGGGCTAAAGGGAATTAGTTAATGAATTTATGAAGTGACTGGTAATTATTTATGAAAAGTCATAGAGAACTGGGGTGATACAAATGACAGCAAATTAATTAGATTGCAGGTGTTAGAAGACAGTATGAGACTGGAGACATTGCAGATGATCTAGAGAAGCAAGAAATGTGGAAAAAGAATAGACACATTTACCCCTGGAAAAAAGAAAAACTCTTCTGTAGTGAGGTAATTTAAATCCTGACACCAGTGGAAAGAACCTGGAACAGCAAAGAATCTCAAAAAAAACCCTAGATATAAGCTTGCAAGGCTACCTCAAAGCAATTATAAATGGCTCCTAAATGGTAATATTAAGAATACTATTTTTAATTTGGCTAACTTGGTACAAGAATGATTTAAAGTAGATCAAAGAATCATTTGAGAAAACTCAAATAGCCATATATTTCTGCTTGAAAAACAGACAACAAAAACATTATGAAAGTGAGAAAATGCGGCAGTCTGTATTTCAGAAGTGTAAACATTAATAATGCAGAAAGATGGTTGAGGCTGGATTAAGCAGCAATGGCATGAAAGTAAGCAATGGGAAATCTAGGTTGATAATCATAAAAGAAATCTTTATGACTTGAATAATAGTAATATTCATAAGACTTAACATTTATATAGTACTTCACATCTTCAAAGCACTTCACTAATATTAACTAATTGCTCTATTCAATTGTAGGGTAGAGTCTTCCCTCAAGGGAAGAAGTTCCAGATCCTGAATCCCTAAGAAGCTACATCAGAAAAACTACTGAAAAACAAACACTATCAAGAGAAATCAGCCGCTGGAAAAGTACAGGGCTAAAACGAGCTAAAATCATTTTCCTTCTCTGGCTTTTTCTTTTGCATATGAAAAGGAAACTGCACGCTATACAACATCATGCAGATGTTATGTCCAACAAGAAAAAACAAAGGGGAAAATAGTTCTTTCTTGTGTTTCAATGCAGAGGTATTTCAGGAAGCGTTTGTAGAAAGGAATACTTTAAACAAAAATGCAGAGAATTGCTCAATATTGCACAGTGCAATGGATGTAAGTTCCCCAGCCCCACAGCAACATTTTCAAGAGCAGAAAGAAAGAGAAACACTCATTTCTGTACTCCAGCTCTTTTTAACTAGACAAGTTGTTAGATTTTAGTACACATTGACATAGCTGGTGGTGACACCAATAAAAACAATTTACTGCTGAAAGGATCTAAGACTTCAGGATTGCTTCAACTGCTTAAAGTTTTGCTGGTAACACTAAAAAAAGTTAGACTACGAGACACAAACACCTGCTAAAGCACAGGAATAAAAACTAAGGAGCAAGCACAAAATCAACAGTGAGGGATTAAAAATTGATTTCCTTAAGTTGATCCAGTAAGTTTCTACTCGAAAAGGGAGCAAAAGTGACTCTTTCCACTCCACGAGGTGAAGGGACCATGTTAACAATGCTCTTCTCCCCATTACTAACCATCGTCAAGGTGCATTTGTTAGGAAATCACCATTTTCAAACACACTGTTGTCACAGCAAGTGGGCAGTCCTGTAGGCAGGAAAGCCTTCTGCCATTCCAGGATGGGGACAGCTTGCTGATTAATAATTTTAAACCTGATACAAGTGCCTGTGTTGCTCTGGAGGGACACTACTACTGATACAGCCACCATTCCTGGTGGTACAGCAAGCCCAAAGGCTTACATCAGCACCCACACTGCATCAAGGTGTGCTTGGATAGAGTCACCATCCTGGAGAACATACAATTTAAATAGAACAGACCGATACAGGCATGAGAAAAAATAAACCTCTGTATCAATAGGTCAGCATCTAATGGTTGAGAAGTTTTCAGTTGAACATGTTTCTGTACACAGCATTGCTGTGTTCTGGCCAAAAGGCCACCTTCAGATACGCAGCCAAATGACATTGAGTTCCATGCCTCAAGATATCACCTGGTGGATTTCATTCCACTTTCTCATACTGCATTGAACCAGAAACTCAAGGTCAGCAGCAGATGGGAATATCCAGCAAAAGCAAGGACAGAGCCAACTAAGTCCAGGCTATCTAGAATTTAAAATCCTGACACTGTGTCCCGGTAATGCCCTAAGATGAAAAAAACACTTTACAAGTATGTGTGTGTGCTTGCTAAATGAGTCAAAATATATAACAGAAGGAAGCCAATTTAAAAGGTACTAAATACAGAAGACTTCAACTTCAGTGATTAGTGCTAGGTAATTTGCCTTGTGATAAACAACCATTCAAATCAGTAATAGACCTGAGGTTGTTCCACAGCTTGAAAGCATTCCTCTGAACTTTATCAGCTATCACAGCAGTGCCAATGTTTGTAAGTCAAATTTTGCCATGCAGCTCTACACCATAAAAGCCAGTAATCCCAATAAGTGCTTGCAAAAGATGCCCACCACCTTCAGAGGTCATGCTGACCACTACAATCACTAAATCAGCATAGGTGCAGCTCAGTTGCTATGTACAATAGCCAGATACAGCTTGTAACTTCTCCTCAGTCCTACAAAATTAAATTAATGAATGAAGAAGAGGCCAGGTTGGATATTTTCCCCTGAATCTATGGAAAATAAATTACTTTTGGGGACTACTGCCATCCAAGGAACAAAACCCACCATCCAGCTGTGAAAAATCCTGGTTTCAGCACTGCAGCATTGAGAAGGAGGGGGGCAGAAGGAAGAGGAAAAGAGAAGGGAAAAAAAAATGATAGCTGAAAAAAAACATAAAAGAAAACCATCAGTGAAAATTGCCCCTGAAACTTTGCAGAATTGTAACGGCTTTCTCTTGCTTAAATTGATTGGTGTAGCAATGTTATAAAATGACTATTAGGATTCATTGTGCACAACAGAAAGTGTGAAATGTCAGCAGATTATACAGCAAAAGTAATGGGTCCTGAACCCCTGTTAGTCAAAAATGATTTTGTTTCAAATTAGAAATTGATTTTTTTGGACACAAGCCCTTTACAGGCTTCCAACTTTGTAGCTGTGCCTTGGAAGAGATTAACCTCAGCCACTGTTTGGGTCCAGGCTGATGATACCCTTTTGAAAGTTTCTTCACAGGGACTGCTTTTTAATGTTGGTACGGTCTTAACCAATAACACAAGTTATTTGTTCCTTTGAGAACTGCACCACATTTCTTCTCATTTTGCCATTTTCTTTATTTTTATGCTGACATATACGGCAAACTGGCTGACAAGTTAAAATAAAAAAATATAAAAAAAAGCTAGTTCATAATTGAACCAAGGATTATGTTCAAGGCTAAGCAGTGAGACATCCAAGCTGCTTTTGTTCCCAACCTTTTCTCTTTGTAAGAGAGAAAAGATTGCATCTCTGCGCCTTAAGTGGAGGCACTAAGCTAAGGGCAGGATAGGTTCTAGCAGTACAGTCATCCCTGTGTGGCAAAATAGCAGGCTGTGATGGTGAAGTTGTCACTCAAGGAGAAAAAGAATGCAAAGATTACATTTAAGGAGCAAACCCCACTGCACTTATTCTCACTGCCTTTTGGGAAAGTTAAAAAAAAATAATTGAAGGAGTTTTCTGAGATTAAGGGGCTACTTGTTTCTCTTTCATCAGGAAGAACAGACAGGATCACCACTTGTTATTTAAAATATTTTTAATTTTTTTAAATAGAGCTGCCACCTTCTCTTAGGTTGCTTTAAACACCTGCAAATCTCTTCCTTTAATTGTGCACTTCGCTGATATCCTTTTGAACACACCAGCACACTCATGGCCCTGCAATACAGCATGCTTCCCCTTACCTTTCCTGGCCTTGGTGCCTTCCCTCTTGGTCTGCATTAGAGGGCTTTGCCCATCATCCACGTTTTCACCAAAGCCAACCATTTTCTTCCCTGAACTGCTCCCACGACTGCTCCCTGATTTTCTGGAGTTTTTGCTGACTGGAGGTGTCCTCAGTAAATAATCTTCACATTTCACCACCGGGACACTGGGAGGAAAAGAAAGATTGTGCTGTTACATGATGCATTCAGCCCATTAACACTGCACCCAGCTCTTTACCCAACTTTTACTCTCCAGAAGTACAAACATCATGCTGCTGGTTGAGCTCTTGTTGAATCCATTTATAATTTCTGAAAGCAGAACGCCTGAGGCTTGAAGAGTTACCAACCCACTTTATCAGGACTCTTTGGTTATCAGCAGCCAGCAGCACCCTGACAACTGTACTTGGAGTTTTGCAGTATTGGGCACATTTCCTAAAGCATTAGGTCCTGGATTTCTCGAGTGGTTAGAACAGCACCAGTGGGATGAAGACATGTAAATGAAGACAGACTTTGTCCAGCACAATGGGCCAAAATTGGAAGAAAGAGTAATGCTCACTTTGCTAGAAAAAAAAAGGGAAACAAAGAATATTATGTGAAGAGAAATCTGAAATTTTAGTTTGCAAAAGGGAAGCAGATCACAGAATCATTTTTATTGGAAATGACCTTTGAGATCATCTGAGTACAACTGCCAAGGCCACCACTAAACCACATCCCCAAGTGTTTTTTAAAAGCCTCCAGGGACAGTGAGAAGCTGATTCAAGAAGAAAAGGGATGAGAATAGAGGAGACAGAGGTGAGACTGATGAACAGAGGTACTTTTAAACAGAATAGAGAATGTATAGGAAACTAGTGGGAGAGAATCTGGTGCAGAAGTGCAGTACTTTGAAGTAAGAAAAGAGAAGGCTGACTGGAACCATTATGATTCAAGATGAACTTCAACACACAATCACAAACACTTCATGGACAGAGGCAAGAGGGAAATCTGGTGATGGGGAGCAATCATGACCTCAAGCTCTGCAGACACAGATGTCTTAAAATGTTCTGGGCAGACACAAGGCTAGGAAGACCCATGTTTCTCTCAGTAAAGTAAAGCTACTACTTTCAAATTCTGATTTCTGGGGAATAACTACTGCTTGAAATGACAATTCCCAACATATGTAAGTCATTAGTCCCTGTTATAAACGGCCCATTTATAAAATAAATTAAAAATATAACAAAGTATCTTTGTATTATCCACATGAAATAATACAATTTATCCCAAGATTACATGTATCTACTTAGAATCATGGAAGCAACAAAAAGCTTTCTTAAGTTATTAGAAGATTAAAAAAATCTTAACAGCTGGACTCTGTGAACCTAGAGGTATTTTCCAATCTAAACCATTCCATATTTCTACGATAAATCTTTTTCCTGTTTAAGCATCAATTTTACATTGGCAACACAGTTGTCACTGAGTTTTTATTAGTTAGGATACAGCTTCATGGAAGTTGAATCACAAGAATCTTTTACCTAAAAGCTTGCACTGACTGAAGTTACTGTAGATCTGAGAAAAAAGTAGGAAATGATAGCTAAATTAAAAGTTTCCCATCAAAGTGCTGTATAAGACATTGTTTAATAGGGCCCACTGAGCCTGTTGGACAATTAGTATTACTCCTGTATTATTAATGCAGAACAGTATATAATGGCTTATGACCTATAATAACTGACTGAAGTGTTGGATATAACTTCTCCAAATAACCTCCGTTTACTTTAGGGCTTCTAACTCTGTGACCACTAATAATACTGCAAAGTGTTTTTAAAATTTATGGTGGACTAAATTAGTATCTTATTTGAATTATATGAAATTATTAACCTACTAATTCCTGCAACTACAAGAGCAGCAAGAGGTGGTTTTGGATCCTAGAAACTGCTCAAAGAGGCTTAAAGGTGTAATACTTGACCAGATTTCTCTAATAAAATAGGACCTGATATTCCATTTACCTGTACTTAGGATGATTAACAGCATTTAAAAAAAAAACAGGTTGTAATAATTTGGATGCTTTTTGAGTTGTTTAAAGCACATTTGATTACAACCTACAGTCCTCATGTGAAGACAGGGACCTTTGGCTTGCAGATAAGGAGGTGATTACTCAACTGATTCTCCTTCTCTATCTTCTACATGGTGCTGTTACCTCTAGAATACTGAACTCTGTTTTAAATACTGCAGTGGCAGAGGCAATTCAAACAGAAACAGACAACAAGAAGAAGTTGCATAAGCTAAGGTACAATAAATAAGAAAAGCAAATGTATTTGCATTTATAACCTCAATAAACAACTAGAGCCTCATTGTTTAGTATACAATAGAAGACAGCTCATGCAAAATTTTTGCTCAAGTAAGGATAGAGTCCCAAATCTTAAAATGACACTTAATCTGAAAGGTGTGCAAACCAAGAAGGGAAAGGGATAATGCAGAGAAAAAAATCATTAATTAACTATCTACCACAGTTAAACAAAGAAAACATAAGGAAAAAAAAATCTGTTTCAGAACATAATTACTCATTCACCTCTGGAATAATTAGTGAAATGAATGATGTGACTATTGAAACATGGAAATTTAAACTCAACATATGGTCAAAAGGAATCAGCTATTTATATCTGGAGAGATTTAGCAGCAAAAGACATTCTTGTCTATTTTCAAATCCAACTACCCATCATGTCACTCAAAGGCACCATGGTTAGTAGGACTTCCTGGAGATACCACAATATCCAATGAATTTTCATGGCAGTTCTTGAAACTACCCAACAGAGAAGACTGTCTAAATAAAGGCTTTATTAACCCACCTACCCTACATCCCAGGGCAGGAGATGTAGTGTGACCAGAAAAGAGGAGAGTTTCAGCACTACTACCTCATCATGAATATCCAAGTACACCATCACCAAAGGAAAACACACCTTGAACATTCCTTCCATCCTGTCTGAGCCTCATATCGCGATATCCCTGCTGAGCGGGAACGGCAAATTTTAAATGTCATTCAGGACCCATTCAATACTGCTAGTATTTGCATTCCTTAAAAAGTAGAAAAACATTAACCTTTTGTTTTATTGAATTAAAATGCCATGGAAATGCTGATGTAGTCTTCAGAGACTGAAATACTTTTACCAAGAAGAATAGCTGTCATTTATTAGACACAAAGAACAATTACTTGATAGGATGCTTTCTGACAAAAAGCAGATTGGTATTCTCATCATAGAAAAGGCATTGTAAAAAAACCCAGCACAGACCTCTGAGACTTGAATAATTTAAAGCTGCATTTGGTGCAATTTGAATTTTTCTTTAGGGAGGCAAAGTTAAATACCTTTAATTTGTTCTAATTATTTCAAATTTGCAAGTTAATTATGGCTGATCATTAAATAACAAAAAGGACTATCGTCTCCATAGAGTTTTACCTCCTACCCTCTGCATTACTTAAGCTAGATTTTAGTATGCATGAATTAACTTTCTAAATAATCACACGGTTTGACTAAATGGCTCAGTAAAATGAGCTCTGATCCTCACAATAAGCATTAATGGACATTAGAAAGGCTATTGGGACCCATGTTACTTACATTATAAGTATTTTTAATGGAGTCTTATTTACTAATCTTTATGTACTGTTCAAGTTAGGGCATCATATAGATACATTATTCTGCTTTAATAGAGGAAAGTCAGTTCTTCAAGATACTAAAATAAATGTCCACTTAGAGCCAACTAAATTCATTTTTAAACTAATGCAGGAAAACTCTGATAGAATATAACTTGTTTTAGCTGCTGATCCTGATGAATCAATCCAGCATAATGGTAGCCTTGTTCTGCAAATGGAGTTTTGCAGATCTGTTGAATCACCAAGCAACCCAAGCAGCTCAGGCTCTTGCCAGAGTCGTGCTTACTATCAGCATGTGATTTACCTCGCCCACGAGGCTTCCTCTCTTCCCTGCTCCACACCCAGCATTCAGCTGACTGGGTTCCCAGTCTTTGATCCCAGATTTGGATGCTCACCTTTCACTGAATTCTGATCTTTCCATGCATTTTTCAGTGCAGATCAGCAGCATTCAGAGAACAAATTAATGTTGTAACTATTCAGAAACCCAAAACGAGAGGCAATTCATGCCTTCACTATGTATGTTCAACAGATGGCTGCCTTAATGGTACCCTACTGCACTCTGCTGAGGCAAGGGCTTGCGAGTTTAACCATCATCAAACTAACAGATTGCCGTGGTAGGTTAGCTCCAAAAGCAAACATGTTGAAATGTTATTTTCCTGTTCTGTAATTTCTGTTTTAAAAATAAAATAATTAACAGTTCATGTGTGCAATCTGCTGCAATTATATCAGGCCAAGAATGCATAACACTTAATGATGCAAAACTGGTGATAAGTAGACAACCCAAGCAATACGTTTTTGTAGCTGGAACCTGAATTGCCATTTCAGATGCAGTTTGACAAACAGGCTGAAAATTGCTTCCTCCCCTGCCACTTTTGGCTGGGAGTGTTTTCTAGCCAGATCAGTTTCCAGAGTCAGCTCAGTATAAAGCAGCAGCACTACAAGCACTGGAACAAAAGAGAAGATGCCAGGACCTTCTTTTCAGCAGAGGTCCAAATTTAGATCAGTTCACATTAAGCTTGTTATCAAACAGCACTTTTGAAAACCACCCGTTCCAAAGTGGGGCAGCCTGGGAGATTATTTGTCTGCATAGCAAATTAAAAAAATATTTCTAGGGAGAAAAGAAGCAGTGTAGACTTTGGATGCATGGATCTGAAAACAAATGGCAGTGCTCTACTGAAAAATCACAACTTTTCCAGTCCTCTCAAGTGGAGCTGAGGAGAAACACGTCAGAACATACAGGCCAGCAGAGCAGCACACAGGAAAGAGAAGAGAGATTGGTCTACTTGCTACTGCTTTGTGCAGGGTGTACAAATCCACAGGGAGGCTGAGAAGAGCTGCTAGGGAGGTAAGAGAGTTGCAGGTGAGGAGGAGAAGCACAGTGTGAACTTCAGGCCAATCTCTCATCCCCGAATGCCATCACCCTTCCTAAAAAATGTTTTTTTAGCTTAGCATTTTTTCCTCCATTTAAGAAGCAGGAAGAAGTCCTATTCTAATACAGACCTTGCAGACCATATTCAAGCCCAGAGTGAGATTTCATGGGCCAATTAT